AATCACCTAACTAGGAACTAGAGAGTACCTTAAGAGAAAGTAGAGAGGAAGTTACTATGACTGAGCAGTCGGATTGCTCGTGTATATATAAGAAATTTGTTTCCTCGTAAAGCCCTAGTAATATTACTAGGGCTTTACGAGGAAACAGCTATGCCCGCGTTTTTTTCCTCGTAAAGTCCTCGTAACACTTACGAGGAAACAGCTATGCCCGCGTTTTTTTCCTCGTAAAGTCCTCGTAACACTTACGAGGAAATAGCTATGCCCGTGTTTTCTATTACTAGGGCTTTACGAGGAAAGGGTTTGTAAACCCCTAAAACTAAACCTTTAACCTAATTAAACCCTAAAATTAAACCTTAAACCTAATTAAAAAACTAAAAGAAGTATACAGTCATCGTAACGGTTTTTATCAACCCCACATAGCTTTCCTCGAACTATCTACCCGAGGAAAAGTTACGAGGAGTTGATAATAAACTATTATGTTGACTGTGAACTCCTTTCAGTTATGAATTGAGTGTTTTCTATTTGTTTGTTGTGTTTCAAATGAATCACATATGGTGGTATTTATAGGAATCTGAGTATTTACTAGGATATTGATAGGAAAAGTAGGTACAAAATTTTGTTCCTCTTAAAATCCTCTTAATTTCCTAGTAACAAAGCTTTTTACTAGGGCTTTACGAGGAAAAGCACATTTTCCTCGTAAGCTCCTCGTAAACTCATTCCTCTTAAAGTCTTCGTAATGCTTACGAGGAAAAAGCTATGCCCGTGTTTTCAATTACTAGGGCTTTACGAGGAAAGTGTTTGTAATTCCCTAAACTCGAAACCCCAAACCCCAAACCACAACTTCCTTAACTTATAACCTCTCCTACAACTAAAATCCTAACCTCTTCTACACCTAAATCCCAAATTCATTTTTTTTTATTAAACAAGCTTAAAAACATAAAACATACTTTATTGAAATTGGTTTTTTGATTAAACAAACTAATAAAAACATACATAATTCATTCGGATACATTCTCATAATCCGTAGAAACATCATCATTTTCGGCAAACTCGTCCTCAACAACATCGTCCGTTGAGTGATCAGGGACATCTTCGTATTCACGATTATGCGGATCAATGAGTAGGATGTCATCAATTTCTGCTTCAGGTTCCTCGATTTCATTGGTGTTTTCTTCTTGCAATGGTGGTTCTTCTCCCTCGATAATCCGTCCT